TCTCGTATTCGACTGTAATTGGTCAAATTCTTATGGCTTAAAGCTTAAAACACCTACATCCGGACTTATAGATCTTAATAGTGCCTTATATAATCTATTTATTGTCTCTTAAGGCCATATTTTACGGAGCCGAACCTGCTCGAATCGTTCTGGAAACAGTCGATGACATACGTTTGGTAACATCCCCTATTTCAAATTCCTGCACTACTATATGAGCATATCCTTGTATTTATATCACGTCGTTGTTCTCGTCTTAGTTCGGATCTACAATAGGTGTTTTAAGCCTTAAATCATAAGAAATTGACCAATTACAGTCGAATGAGGAAAAAAATCGACTGTGATTCATCCATTTTTTATAGATTAAGGCTTCAAAATCTATTGTAGATCCGAACTTAGCATAAAGACACTACTGTATCTTCAGATTACGTTAGCGCTAAGACAAAAGAAATACGCGTCGATAAAGTAAATTCTATTGAGATGTATGATTATTAAGGTTATTTATTTTACTTTACAAAATGTAAAAGAATACCTTACTGTACCGTTACATAATAGAACTACCAATTTCATAACATTTACTAGAATTCTAGTTGGGAATGGAAAGTTACTTTTTAAAAGTAACAAGTTATAATTACTTGTTATTTAGTAGAAAAAATAACAAGTTATTGTTACTAGTTACCAATTTTTAAAAGTAATTCATTACAGTTACCGTTACTCGAGGAAGTATCTTTTTTTCCACGCGAAGTGACTCTCACCCCACCTCCCCCCTGCCAGAGTCGCTTCGTGTAGAAGTCGTACACTCCTAAGGAAAGTTATAAAGTATACTTTAAAGCAGAAAATTTATGTTTTATATGGTAGAAAAGAAACATTATATATTTTTCAAACTTTTTTTGTTAATAATTTTTTAATGAATGATGAGCTAAAACCTGGTGGAAGTTACTCAGAGTCGTGACCTTAAAAACATATATCAAAGTCATCGGAGCCACTCCTCTATTCAGCATATTTACCAAAATAACTTGTAGTAACTTCGTTACGAGTAAGTTCCATGCCTTGATTCTAGCGTACTTTACACTTTCCTTCGTGTGGGATTCTCTCGAAAAATATTGCATTCAAATGATTGTTACCTTACAGTAAAATAAATCATACTCTATTTTCAAAACTGTAACACGAACAAATCAACACTTTGCACACTTGTATTTTTTATTGCGTAATGAAGTAAATTTTGTCAACGCTAAGGCAAAAGATACTTGATGAAGTAAATGACTGAAGATTCGCGCGAAATATGACGGGTCAAATAACAATCGAATGCCAAATTGTCTAGATAAGCATGCGATTATAGCTCAGTGTTAGCTTGTTAGGCTACCATCCCAAAAATCTTAGGTTCAAATCCAGTCGATACCGCATACACAGACAAAATTTTAAGTAATATGCGCTATAATTCTAATAAATTATGTGGAATTGGTAGGTTCATGTAGAAACAGGCGTCCATTTATGTAAAATTTACTTTATTTTTCTGATAGCAATCGTTGTATAGTCATACTGTAAAGTACTTTTTACATTTTGTAAAGCATAATTTTACATTATTATGACTAATCGACAATCACTCATTTATTAGAAATGTAAAGAAAATTGTATATAAGTCCCTATACATAAGACGCCTGTCCCATATTTACTTGAAAATTCCATAAAATTGATTAGAATCCGAATGTACATTATATTTTTCTCCATGTATGAATAGTTAAATGTTGACCGTTACTAATTTGAAAACTATTGTAGCTTTGATATTTTGATATATTAGAATTTATATATTTTATATATTAAAATTTATATATTTTTATATATTAGAATTTTTAAATCTTATTTTTAAATCAGGAATATGTTATTAAAATTTTAATCGCGAATTATGATATTCTGTACACTGAAAGAAAAAGACATAAAAAACAATGACTCACTCGTGAATGATTTTTACAGTAGGAGGATAAGATAACTCAATCTCAGTAATTTTCAATATTTAATTCATGGCTTTTTGCAATTTACATTATGTCATATGATATTAACATTCACCGGCAGTATTCAATACGATTTTAAAACAATAATGATCGCTAACAAGACACCTTCGCTAAATCAGCTTGTTAATATCATGCATTTTTCATGCATTTATAATTAACATGAAAATAATACTTAATTCGTATTTCCAGTGCATCCTTTTCCAAAAATATCACATGCTTTTATGTGCAAGCTTAATTGCTTTTTCTTAATAAAGCCTAGTACGCGTTATTTTAATTATTATTAGTTTGCTTATAAAAAGTCGCGCCACTGGTTATCAATTCATTACCATACTTTTTTCTGATAAAAATCTAAACAATATGTATGTCCAAGATCGGAACACAAGACGTTTTACATTTCGATTTTGGATACGTGTGCTGGATAAATTAGTTTGTGCTATAATAACGCAACACAACATTATGACACGTATCAAAAGTGTCATAATATTGCTTTTTTCACGTTTATTAATTGTTTAGGTCATATTTACAATTGTTTACCCTATCTATATACAAAAATCTCAGAATTTAATGAACAAACTACAAAGTTTATTCTATAAATGAATATAAAAAAAAATGTTATATGAAGTTTGACTAGATATTCTTTGTTATAAAGGGTACGGGAAGGGTTTGGGAAGTTCGCTACTAGCGCTATCGAACGCTAACGCTGTTCGAAGAGCTCCCTACCAACGCTATCCGTGACGTCATTGTCGGTAGCGTTTACCGTCATAACTTGCACTACCAACGCTCTTGCTTCCGAAGTAGTGCATGAGTAGCATTAGCGTTTGTGAGTTTTATGAACGCTAGTAGTAGTAAAGATAGTGCTGTTTTTTGCCATTTCAGTTTCTTGTGGTTTCCTGTCTCTTCTGTTCCTGCCATTTTCATAATTTTTATATATTAAAACATGCAGATATTAATACATTACGCTATTTTTATCACGCAACTTTTTAATCATAATCTCAGATAACATAACTTTAAATTATGACAAATATGTGCAAATAAATAACATAAAAATTTTACTTTAAACGTAAATATTAAATCTATTTTATACCGTACAGTATAATTTCAAAGAAAAGGAGGATTACCTTGGAATCAAAAATTATTTACAGCGATGAAGAGGTACGTTCGAGGAGACACTATCAACGCTACCAGTGCGTCGTAAATGCTAAAAATCGTTCATAAAACTCACTATCACTATTGGCTACACGAATAGTGTTAGTAGCGTTTGCGTTGATAGCGTTGATAGCGTCTCCTCAAACATACCCAAAGTTATAAATAAATATTGCAACAGAACAAATATTGAAATAGGAAACAACAAATTATCTATTGCGCAAAATATGAAAGTAAACATTTTGTGTATGAAAGGATTGAACATGTTTATCTCGTATGTATATTCATATCACATTTACTATCTTTAAACGATTCCATATTATTTTAACCTGTGTGTGAATATGATATTTGTTTAGCCTTGAAACAACGACTACGCTCAAAAATAATAGTTGTTAAATAAATTTCCATTGTCGCAACTGCCATTAAAATGTTGAAATAGTAACTGCCATTAAAATGCCAATGTTTCATTAAAATACTATTAAAATGTTCAATTTTAAAATTTATTTATAATTTAGCAATAATTTTCTAACCAAACTTCATACATCTTTTTTTCTTATTTCCACTGTATAGAATATGATCTCGCAGATTATCTGTTAAATCCTGAGACACCCTGTACATAAAAATGAGATAAAAGGATTAATAAACAATACGATAGAGAATGTGAAAAATCAAAGCTTAATGCATATGTGGAAATTTTTGAAAAAAGGGAGAAGATCTAAAAAAAGAAAAAATCAGAAAAAGAATGAGAATCAAAAGAGTAGATTATTGTTTAAGTTTATAATATATTATATAAAATATTGTCCCAATATTTTATAATGTATTGGGTTGTTCTAGAAAGTTTGTGCGATTTTCTTTAGTTCAAAATTATACATAGAAAAAATACGAATATGTTGCGAAACCTACTCGGTTTCGACCTATCATAAAAGTTTGAAGTTTTTTCTACAAAATCGTTTTTTAAAAATGTTCCTACGACTTTTTCTTCTTGAGTTACTTGCGAGTTAAATAAAAAGGATTATTGTGACTTGGATTGATTATAATTCTATTAAAAGTCATCATATTGCAATTAAAAAACAAATTCTTAAAACTGAAACTTTGCTTTATCAAATAATATAATTGCTAATTTTTTTAATGTAAAATATAAATAAATTTGAGACAAATGTGACATTACTATTCTTTTAAACATTGTGCAATGCTAAAAAGGTAGCATTACTGTCTTTCTAAGCATTGCACAATGGTTACAAGGAAAGTAATGTCATATTTTTAATTAAAATTTATATATATTATATTTTTTTAATTGGCAATTATATCACTTGATAGAGGAAAGTTTCAGCTTGAAGAATCTGTTCCTTTAATTGTAGTACGATTTTTAACAGAGTTATGAACAATTAAAATCACAATGCTCCTGTTTAATTCGCGAATAATTTAAGAACAAAAAAGTAGAAACATTTTTAAAAATGATTTTGTAGGAATAATTTGAAGTTTTTACGATAGATAGGCGAAAATATTTTTCGCAAATTTTTTTTAACACATGACAGACCCAAATAAAAAGCAAATTTTCCATCTTTTTTAATTCGTAGTTTTCCGAATGTAAAAATTGTCAAACTCACAGAGACTTAAAAAACAGAAAGTAACCTTTTGAAAAAATAGAGATTTCAAGCTTTAAAATCCTTTTTTTAAATTTAAATTTTATTCACTTTTAAAATAAATTGTATATACAATTTTGAGTTTTAAAAAATTTCATAAACTTTCTGGACAACCTAATATATAATATTATAAATAACATATAATAAAAAGAATTTATAATTAAAAATATAAGTGTCTTCTATGGAGACCCTGTCGTAGGGTAAAAAGAAGAGAGAAGGCGGAGCTACTGGTGGTACTACTGGACCGAACGAAATTATTGCTTGCACTAACTGCGGACCTAATCCTTGCACACATACGACAACAAACGGTTGCACCGCCGAGGTAAGCAAGTTATTATATATACAAGTATAATAGTATATTATATAAAATACCATTGTATTCCTTTCTTGAGAAATATAAAAATGTATTTGGAATGTAAATAAACTTAATTAAACAATAAGAAATAGAAATAATGTCCATAACGGTCAAAACTAAATCTTTAATGCTTAAATAATTTAATCTGAATAGTATATAGTATATACTATATACTATATACTAAAGACTATATAATATATACTATATACTATATATGTACATATATACCATATATGTACATATATATTTACCATATTTGTAGACATTCGAATTGCGCGCCGAATTGATTTTTCGGATTTGTAAACAAAATTAAACTACTGTAGTATTGTAATATTACAAATTAAGTTGACAAGCTGCCCCTGCTCATAAGCATATAGGCAACCCGACTTACTGATTTGTAGATATCAGAAGCACTCTGTATATACATAGTATATATTGTACAATAATTCAGATTGAATTATTTAAGCATTAAAGATCTAGTTTTTACCGTTATAGCCATTACTTCTATTCTTTATTATTAAATTTTCAAATGTACGGTCCAGATTCTTATTGAGATTCTTATTGTTTAATTAATTAATTTAATATATTTTTTATTAATATTAAAAATAAAACATCATTAGTCAGTGGCATAAGAGTAATCAACAGTTCTCTGAAAAAAAACCGAATATATTAAAAATTAAAGTTATATTTTAAAAGCACATTATGGTCACTAAAATGCATTTACTTAATTAATGACACTAATTAATGACACTCAATTACCATTATCGTTAACACTTCGTTGACACACATGTTTCGCGATCTTTACTTAGCACACAGGTGCGAATTCGCATCACTGTGGTGGTTTATAACTCCTTCACAATAAAGATAATTTAATCCATTTTTTTTTCCATTTCAAGGAAAAAAGGAAAGGAATAATTTTGACTCAATTATGTAAATATCGAAAATCATTATATTAGTAAAAAAAATCTTTTAAATTGAAATTCTGAAAAAAATTACGTTTTTTTTTCAATAATCATTTTTTTAATAATTAATAGAATAGTAATTATTAGAATTTAAAAAAGTGCACATTTTCAAGAGGAAAGATAGTACTATAAGATGTATACCTATATTATTTTTCCAAATTTCTCGGTGACCTAGTTTTCGTTCGGTGCTGACAACGGATAATTTTGATTTACTTTATTGCTTGCTCAAAGAGTCGAAGGATATTAAAGACTATTATGCATGGAAAGTAGAATCCTTAACTTTTTTTACGGACGGGTGATAGTATTATATTAAAGAATTTATTTTCGAACTAGTTTTACAGCTAAAAAAAAGAATGAATTAGCAAGTGTTAGTTATAGCTTATCGTCGAGATATGATTCTTATAATATTTTCGACTAAAGTTTTGAGTAAAAATCTTTAAATCTTCTAAATGTGTCAAAGATAACTGCTTCAAAATAAATATTCGTGTTTCGCATCAAAGCTTCTTCGTGATTAATCAGATATTTTTAATCGGATATGCGTCCAGAGATTAATCAATCTATCGATCAATGATAAAAGCTTGTCTGGTGGAAAATATGATGATAAGCTATATTAATAATAACGATAAATAATTGGATGCTATAACTAAATGCATTTTAATAAATGTAATGCACTTTTAAAAAACTTTTAAATTTTTTTTTTTTTTTAATATACTCGGTTTTGTTTAGAAAACTGCTATTTTTGTGTCATTAACTGTACATAATGACGCTTTATTTAAAATTAATTGAATATATTTTTAATTAATTAATTAAATGCTGGAAAAATACTAGAGATCCAGGTATGACTCCCAACTGAATATTTTTAGCAATAAATTTATGTACCGAAGAAACAAGCAATCATTTGCTTGGCAGCACTGCGTGAACGAACAACTTTTGTTGGTTTTGGTTCATTTTGAAATACCCAAACAGTGGATTGTTGTTTACTTTCGGGCTCATACGAATAGATTCATGTTTCGTCCCCAGTAACGATATTGTAGACCAAATTTGATCGACCTCGGTTGAATTTTTTGAGCATTTCTTTGCTTCATTTAACACGAGACTGTTTT